GAAGGGGGGGGCTGTACAACTCAAGGAGCCGGTTCCAGGGCTCAGAGGGTCTTGTGCAAGGCCCCTGGGTTCACACACGAGGAGGGAAGGAAGGGCGACCGTCCTGGAGCCCAGACAGCCTGCGGGTGTCTCGGGGGGGTTCAGGGAGGCTGGGAGTCAGCACCCCGGGCAGGAGGAAGAGGGCTGACGGCCCCGGACGGGGCTCTTTACGGCTGCCCTGGCCCTGCATGGCCACCTCGTTCTGTGAAGGGCAGTCAGGACACTGCTCATCCTCTGGAACCATGAGAAGAAGTGGGGCCGGCCCCGCTGTGAGCGAGTGCAGAGAGGGGGACCTCAGACAAGGTGGCGGCGGGTGGGGATGGGGAGGGCTGTGGGCAACGGGCAGATGACATGAAGGAAGAGAGGAAAGAGAGGGACCCACGATGTCTCAGGAATCTCCCCTGAGCCACATGCTACGTCTCACACACATGATCCCCCCAACAGGCCCGTGGCAGGAAGGTCACTGCTCCATGTTACGGGGAAGGGGACAGGTGAAGTGACCACGCTACTCACAAAGCTGTCTGGGAAGAAAGCCTTTTTAAAAGACAGGTCAGAGCCCAGCTGGTGTGGCTCAGGGGGTAGAGCATCGACCTATGAACCAGGAGGTCACAGGTCGATTCCCGGTTAGGGCACATGCCTGGGTGGTGGGCTTGATCCCCAGTGGGGGTCGTGCAGGAGGCAGCCCATCCATGATTCTCTCTCATCATTGATGTTTCTATCTCTCTCTTTCTCCCTTCCTCTCTGAAATCAATAAAAATATACCATTTCTAAAAATACGATAAAGAGCTTCCAAGACCAAATTGAAAAATATATATATATATAAAGACGTGATTAGAGAAAGGCTGTCCTTATATGAGGTTAGTTAAGGTCCACTGTCACCTATTTCTAATGTCAGGGGCTCGGGGACGCGCACTGTGACTTCTGATACCAGGGTCACACTTTTGCTTTCAGTATCAGGTTGGGGAAAGGGCTGCTAAGAATGAGCTGCTGGATCACACCTGACCTGAAGCCAGCCGTGAATCCTGGAGCTCGGGGACAAGCTCTGTGTCATTTCCTGCAGGGCATGACGGGGACCCAAACCCCACCCAGACCCATGCAGGGACTTTCGTCGGAGAGGTCTGCCCTCCATGATGCACAATAGCCCTTCTGAGTGTCCCCACAGGGACCACGGGGCGTGACCGGCTATCCCCAACACACGCCCTCATTCAGCATTTCTTTGAAGTCTCAACTTTTATCTTCAAAATTCAGGCACATGTCCTAGCTGGTCTGGCTCAGCGGATAGAGCATTGGACTGAGGACTGAAGGGTCCCGGGTTCGATTCTGGTCAAGGGCACATGCCCGGGTTGCAAGCCCCATCACCAGTGTGAGGCATGCAGGAGGCAGCCAGTTAATGATTCTCTTGCATCATTGATGTTTCTCTCTCTCTCTCTCCCCCCCTCTCCCTTCCTCTCTAAAATCAATAAAAATATATTTTAAAAGGAAAAAAACAATTCAAGTACATTTCGCATTCCACACCTCAAACCACCATCAGCTACACTAACTACTTCTCGTTTCATTACTTAGCTTGACTTTTTCCTCCTAAACCGCCATGTAGAACAGATGCCCTAGAGCAGTGATGGCAAACCTTTTGAGCTCGGCGTGTCAGCATTTTGAAAAACCCTAACTTAACTCTGGTGCTGTGTCACAAATAGAAATATTTTGATATTTGCAACCATAGTAAAACAAAGACTTATTTTTGATATTTATTTGATATATTTAAATGCTATTTAACAAAGAAAAATCAACCAAAAAAATGAGTTCGCGTGTCACCTCTGACACGTGTGTCATAGGTTCGCCATCACTATCCTAGAAAGACGTGGCTTCTTGTCCCAGGTAGTCTGAGCAGCTTGAGCCTCAGGTGACCTCGGTGGTCCCCACCCTCCCCCGCCTGCATTCCCCGTGCCATGAGGGTCTTACCTACATCGCAGTGCTCGCCAGTGTGGCCAGGGGGACACAGGCATAGCACGTGTCCCTCCGTCTCCTGGCAGGTCCCAGGGACACAGGGATCCTCGCCGCAGGACCTGGCTCGGGCTGCACCCCCCGCAGGGAGGCCAAGCACCCAGCAGCCGGCCGCCTGGGGTGTGGCGCAGCCTCTGAGACCCCGAGGTTGGGGCACAAGGTCCCGTAAGCTCACGAGGCTGACTTGGTGTCAGCGTGTTTCTGGGGCGCCTCCTGGACTCCTGGCCCTGGTACCCGGGGCTTGGGCACACAGCGATGTGCAAGGGACCCCAGAACAAAAGTGGGGGGCAGACTTAGCTGCTGGTGTCCGGTGCTGGGATGCTGCTAAGGTGCGACAGTCACTACCGTCCAGAGGAGTCCCATGGACTGGGGTTGGGGTGGGGACCCCGGGGCTCACGTCAGGACTCAGCCCAAATGACACCTCGTCATTCCTTAAATTGTGCTGGTTCGAACCCTGCACAAAGTAAATATTTGGGGATAAAGGCCACCAGGAGGTTCATTCTCTCATCCTACACTCACTCATGGGAAGGGGCCAGGAGCACAATTTCCAGCACTATTCAAGCACGTCAAACTTGCTTTATTGAGGCCTGCGGCCCGCTAGCCACGAGTTTGACATGGTCGACCCATAGTCATCATTCCCTCTCTCTGTGCCAAAGACAATCAAGTTCACACATCAATGTTCTCAAGATGTAACTTCACTCTAATGGTAACCATCACTAATCTTTTTTTGTTGTTGTTAATCGTAGGATATTTTCCCATTGATTTTTAGGGAGAGTAGGAGGGAGAGACACACACACAGAGAGAAACATCGATGTGAGAGAGACACATCAATTGGTTGCCTCTGCACATGCTCCGACCAGGGCTGGAGATCAAGCCTGCAACCGAGGTCCATGCCCTTGACCAGAATTGAACCTGGGACCCTTCAGTCCGCAGGCGGACGCTCTATCCACTGAGCCAAACTGGCCAGGGCACAATCACGGATCTCTATGAGTGTGTCCTGTGTGCCTCATCTGATGCTCAGTGCTTGTTTTATAGATAGTTACATGCTGTTTAATCTTCCCTGGTCCGATTCCCATTTCCCGAGGGAGGATCAGAGAGGTTAAGAAACTTGCCTGAGGCTGCACAGCTCATCTCTGGGGGAGCTGAGCTCAGAGACTTGAATCTACACCGCCTCCTACTCTGCTACCATCTGAACTAGGCGGACACATCGGAAGGAAAAAGAGATGTCAGCCATACCTGTAATGGTTGCCTCCGATCCTTCGGTCCCTTCGGCCGGAGCTGGGATGGAAGAAGCGTCCGTTGGGAAGACGGCTGTTTCGGCCGTTGGGGCCTCTTCTCCCGAGTGCACGGGGCTTGAGGACTCCACTTCCAGATTCGCCTCTGCAGGGCGCTGGGGCTGCTGGGTCCATTCAAACTCTGGGACGCTGGTGCCCACGACAACACCCAGCCCCGAGGCGTGACCAGACGGGTCCCCGCTGATCTCCGGCCCGTCTCCAGAAGCCCCGGGAGTGGCCGAAGGCCAGCCCGAGGTCTCCGTGGCCACATCGTACGTGGTGGCCGACTCTCCACTCATTCCCGACGGGGTGGAGCCCTCCGTGGGCCCTTCCTGGAAGGTGGAGGGGCGGCCGCTCACTCCCAGGCCCGAGGCTCCCTCCAGGTCAGCTTCGGGGAAGGCGGAGGTGGTTTCCCCCAGATTAGGGGTCCCCGAGGCCACCCCACTGGCCTCAGGAGCAGCAGGCGCCCCCACCCCAGCCTCAGGAGAGGCAGACGTTTCGCTGCTGGATTCTGGGACAGATGACGCCTCTACCCCGGACCCGGGGAAGCTTGGTGTGGCTCCACTGAGGTCCCCCGATGTAGAGGCTTCTCCGCTGGACTCAAAAACCTGGGGTGTGTGTGTCAAAGGGGGTCTCTGGCCGAGTTCCTGGGAAACAGTGGGTTCCGTGACACCCTCCACGAATTCGGAAGTGATTAGAGTGACGTCGGGCAGTCCCGAGGCCTCCCCGCTGGTGCCCGTGGCTGCAGAAGACGCCCCACTGGCATCCGTGGAGCCGAAAAAGTCCCCGCTGAAATACGGGGTCCTCGAAGGCTCGCCGCTGGGCTCCCCCAGCCCGGACTGCAGCCCGCTGAGGTCCGATGGTCCGGAATGGTCTCCGGACACGTCCGGCGCTCCGGAAGGGGCACCGCTGAGTTCTAGAATGCCCGAAGGCCCCTCCCCTGCTTCTTGGGCCGTTGGAGGCTGGGTTACAGATTCCACCAAAGTCCTGTCGATGAGCGAGACGGTGGGGAAGCCCCGTGGAAGTCCACTGCCATCGTAGGCTCCGGAGGGCAGGCCGCTCCCCACCTCGGCGCCGGAGGCCTCCCCGCTGACCTCGGCGGCTCCGCTGGGCAGGCCGCTGAATTCTGGAGGCTGCGATGGAAACCCGCTGGGGGCAATGGCCCCGGACGACTGTCCACTGATGTCCACCATCCCAGAGATGCCCGAGAGATCCGTCTCCCCAGAGGGGAGGCCGCTGAGTTCCACGGACCCCAAGCCTTCTTCTTCTTCCCTAAATGGAGTTGGGGTCACTTCCACGAAGGTGCTGTCCACAAACGTAACGCCGGAAGCGTCGCCGCTGCCACTCGCGGCGCCAGAAACCAGGTCGGGGATCCCCGAGGGGGCCCCACTGAACCCGGGCCACCCCGAGGCCTGCCCACTGAGGTCAGGGACCCCAGACGTTTCTCCACTCGGGTCGGTCATGCCAAACGGGTGGCCGCTGCCAAGATCTCCAGAAGCTTCTCCGCTGACACCTGGCTGTCCGGAGGACTGTCCACTGAGCTCGGCCATTCCAGACGTCTCCTCCGGAAACCCTGACGGCTGCCCACTGAGCTCAAAGAGCCCGGATGTCCCCCCGCCGAGGTCAGGGACTCCTGATGGCTGTCCGCTGACACCAAAGAATCCAGATGTCTCCCCGCTGATGTCGGGGGATCCAGATGGCTGGCCACTGAGTTCAGCCCCCGAAGGGAACCCGCTCGCGCCCCCGCTCACGTCCACCTCGCCGAAGGGCAGCCCGGATCCCTCGCCAGCACCGCTCACGCCGACGGTGCCCCGCCCCTCCAGCTCACTCGCCGTGGCGGCTGTGACCACTTCCACCAGCGTGGTATCCACCAGGGAGACTGTCGGGAGCCCCGAGGGAAGCCCGCTGAAGTCCGGCGAGCCGGAGGATGGGCCGCTGCCGAGGTCCGTGCCAGAATACTCACCGCTGAATCCGGGGGGAAGGCCACTGGCTTCTGGAGCTTGCCCGCTTCCGAGAGTTCCAGAAGGTATCCCGCCCAGGCCCGAGTCTCCAGAAGGTGACCCGATCAAGTCTTCTTTTCCAGAAGGCAACCCGCTGAGGTCCTCGGGTCCAGAACCAGAGGTCTCTAGACCCTCTCCTCCAGAAGGAAGTCCACCCAGGTCCTCTACTCCAGAAGTAGACGTCGCCAGATGAGTCTCACCTCCAGAAGGAAGTCCACTCAGGTCCTCTACTCCAGAGGTAGAACTTTCTGGATGAGTCTCACCTCCAGAAGGAAGTCCACTCAGGTCTACTCCAGAGGTAGAACTTTCTGGATGAGTCTCACCTCCAGAAGGAAGTCCACTCAGGTCCTCTACTCCAGAGGTAGAACTTTCTGGATGAGTCTCACCTCCAGAAGGAAGTCCACCCAGGTCCTCTACTCCAGAGGTAGATGTTTCCAGATGACTCTCAACTCCAGAAGGAAGTCCACTCAGGTCTATTCCAGAGGCAGAACCTTCTGGATGAGTCTCACCTCCAGAAGGAAGTCCACTCAGGTCTACTCCAGAGGTAGAACTTTCTGGATGAGTCTCACCTCCAGAAGGAAGTCCACTCAGGTCTACTCCAGAGGTAGATGTCTCTAGATGACTCTCATCTCCAGAAGGAAGTCCACCCAGGTCTCCTCCAGAGGTAGATGTCTCTAGATGACTCTCATCTCCACTAGGAAGTCCACCCAGGTCCTCTACTCCAGAGGCAGAACCTTCTGGATGACTCTCACCTCCACCCAGGTCCTCTACCCCGGAGGCAGAGCCTTCTAGACCCTCACCCCCAGGAGGCAGCCCCCCAACGTGAGAAGTGTTGGACCACGTAATTCTATCTTCCTCCCCCGAGGCCAGTCCACTTCCCACGGGCAGGCCTGAGCCCGCTGCTGAGGTGACACCACTGGAGTCAAGGTCTTCCGAGGGCTGCCCACTGGTGTCCGGGTGTCCTGAAGCTTCTCCACTGGCTGAGAAGTCACCACTGACTTCCGGTGCCCCGGATGCTTCCCCGGAGCCCATCCCACTGGGCACTGGGGGTGAAGGTGTGAACAGTGGCTCCTGGGAGGGGGCTGGCTCCTCGGAGGGGGATGGCTCTTCTGAGGGGGATGGCTCTTCTGAGGGGAATGGCTCCTCCGAGGCCAAGGGCACTTCTGTGGCAGAAGGGCCTTCTCTGCTCTCCTCTGTGGCTGTGCTTGTGGGAGGCCATGTAGGAGGGACCCCTGGAGGATGAGAGGAAGAAAGACAAGGTGGGGATTTAGTAACTCTGCCCATTTTAAGCTCAATTCCATTCCCTTCACAGTAACATTTTTCTTTGCCCCGGCTGGTGTGGCTCAGTGGGTAGAGGGTCGGCCTGTGGACGAAAGAGTCCCAGGTTCGATTCCAGTGAAGGGCATGTACCTCGGTTTCA